TTAGCCAGCTGGCTGGGCTGTGGGGTGCTTTCCGGGTCTGTCTGGGAGGCCTTGGGGCTCCTCTGGCAGGCTGAGTGCCCTTGGCGAACACTGGAGGCACTCAGTTCCTTGCAAGGCCAGGCCACTGGTCTCATGTCATGGTCTCTGTCAGCACGGGAACACACAGGAGCTGATGGGGACAGAGTCTAGTACAGGGAACAGGGATAGAGTGTGCCTGGCAGAATAAGGAAGGCTAATGGGGTGCAGGAGGTAGAGAGCCCCCCCCCACACACACACACACTATTCTCCCCAGATGCTCCATTCTACCACATCTGAGTTCATGGGGTCTCGGTTCCAGCTCTCATGTCATCATCTCACTTCCATGCTTCGCGCTGATTGGCAGCCACAGCAGAGGCACCAGGAACTTCTGGGGCACAGAGTCCAAACAACCCGTCAACCCTACAGGAACTTCATGGGGCATGTTGCCAGGCCAGCGTTGGTGGAAACTTGCTCTGTAGCTGAGCAGAGAGCACGTCCAGCACTAAAGCCACCCAAGCTTATGCCTATATGCAGATTAGCTTATTAAAAAGTTTGTATAAAATGTCACCCATGGAGCTGGACGGAACCTGGCAGCTAATGCTTGCTTACCCGCCCATCGCTGCTGGAGCATGCAGGTGTCAGGCAGTAGGTTATTTCCATACTGGAGATGGTCATGTCACGTAGTGAGTTCTCAGGGAACCCCCTGCCTCCATTGGTGGATGCCCGGAGACCCCCTGCTCCCATTGGTAGGCGTGTGCAGTTGGCACAGATGGGAATGGCTCACATGCTGTGGAACTGACCAAGGCAGCCTATGGGGTGGTGGTTGGAATTGGGCATGGAGAAGGGGGATTTTGTGCTCCTGCCCACTTTGCCAGTGCCCCAGAGGGCTGAAAGTTCAGATCCTGGGGAGGTCCAACCTGTCTTTGTCCAGGAAGCCCAGGCTGAAGAGTGGGAACGTTGCAGCACACTCCAGCAAGCAGTTACCAGGAGGTTGCTTTCCCTGCCTTCCCAGAGTAAAGCTAGGACTCATGAATGGATGCGAGCCCCCAAGGGTGACACTCTCAGGTACAGCACCAGCCGTACACGCTGCCTCCCTAGCACCCATCATTGTGTCTCATCCACCTCAGTAAGGACCCACGCAGCCCCCAGCCTTTGCTGAAGCAGCCGGGGGGGGGGGGTGATAGGTGCCAGCGAAGGGCAATAATTCTCCTTGTAGGGCTAGCGAGGAATGAAACAGAGCCAATGCTACACCCCCTGTGGCTGTCCTTGCACCACACAACCACAAGGGGGCAGGCCCTGCCTGCTGAATGAGAAGCTGGTTCTTTGTCCACAGGCAGAGTCCTGGCCAGGCCAAGCTTTGGATTCCAGCAGCGAAAGGAGGATGGGGGAGGAATCAAGATACTTCTCCAGCAGTGTTTTGGCACCCAGGCTGGCCTGGCGGAGAGCCCCCTGCCAGGAAAGTCACAGGCCCTCAGGGGGACATGGCAGCGGGTAGCAAGCAAACCAGATTTTTCTCAAAGAAAGTTGAAGTTCTAGGCCCGAGCCTGCTCCTGTTGTAGGCAAAGCTGCCACTGACTTCACTGGGGGGCCGGATCAGGCCCCAGTGCTGCTGGCCGCTGCTGCTCGCTTGGAAGTGGGGAAGGAAGCGCTGACCAGCGGGAGGATCGTTAACACAAATCTCACCCTTTCCGTCTGAGGAACTCTCCCCTTCTGTTCCGATGAACAACCCTCCCGAGACAGCAGAACACCATTTTGCTCAGGCTACCAGGAAGCAGAGCCCCTCTTAAAGAGGAAGGCCGGCTGCCCTTGTGGTTAAAGCACTGAGTTAGCACTTGAGTAGGTTCAAGTCCCAGCTCTACCACTGACTCAACCAAGTCCTTTCATACCTCAGTTCTGCATCCATAAAATGGGGCAGACAGTCCTTCTGCTCAGCACCTCCTGGGTATTCAGATGATAAGCTCTTGGGGCAGGGGCTGTCACTTCCTATGTATATGTGCAGCATCCACCCCAATAAGGCCTTTAGGTGCTGCAAATAATAATTAGTCCCATGGCACTGATGCAAACGGTTGCCTTAACATCCCACCAGATGCTTCCCTACCAACATCTGTTACACCAAGTCAATAATTTCTCCATCGTTAAGGTTGTAACATGGGCCCAGTTTTTACTCCTGCTTATCATTTTCAGGAGTTTAAAGAAAAAATGCTGCAATGGAATTTCAGTTGGCAGTACATTGATCAAATTGATTTTAGTGGCATTTAAAGATGTATCTTTTATGGTAGGGAGTTGGCCCAAAACATCTAATTTTCCAAGCCCTTATTAAAGGCCAGATTCTGACAGTCTTATGTTGTGCAGCTCTTTATTCCATGAGTGGTCTCATTGATTTCAACGGGGCTACTCACAGACAAAGGTGCTAACTCAGGTTAAGGATACCAAAATCTGGCCCAAAATGATTTCAGCTGAAGCATGGGCTGGTTGGACAAGACAGTGTCAAGGAACATCAGAGCCTGTTGCTTAGTGTCTTTAAACACCGTGATACCCAACCATGTTGTAACACACTGGCTCTGTCACACACACACAATAAGTAAAGCTTGGATGGTGGCAAGACCAGGTTTGTTTTGTATTTGTACACCACCTAGTGCAGTGGGATGCTGGTCCATGACTGGGGCTTCTAGCCGCTACCGTAATACAGCTAATCAGATTCCCCAACAGTGCCCTGGTCACTGGCCCCAGTTCAGGAAAGTGCTTAAGCTCATGTTGAAGCTATCTCTATTCAAGACAATACTTAAGCACATGCTTAACTTTAATGACAGGACTTAACCACGTGCTTACATTTTGTCCTGAGCAGGGATGCTTTTCTGACTCACAGCCAGTGTGAGCAATGGTCAGAGTGGTGTTGAGTCCTTTGCATCTCATCTGTGGCGGAGTCTGACACAGCCCCCAGGAACTGAACTGAGACCACCAGTGTATTCCAGTCCCTTCCATTGTCAGATGGCAATAAGCTCGCATTACTATCAGCATCAAGTAGATTTGAACCAGTGGACTGGACTTGAAAGACTTATTGTTAATCCCCGCAAGCCATCTAGTCCCCCTGCTGAGAGGCATTTTAACAATGTCTCCTAGCTAGCAGCACTTAGGTCAGTTCGATTATCTCATGTACTTGAATAACAGGTTCATCTTTGTAGCCACAGGCAAGAGAATAATTTCCAAAGGATGTAATATACTAACATCAGACACACACACTGTATACACCACGGGGAGGAAGGAATGTGGACCTATCTCATCTGAAGCCAATGTTTGGAACAGGGGCAGAGAAGGGCTAATAGGATGATCCGAGGAATAAAAACCTACCTTGTGAGAGGAGACTCAGAGCTCCTTAGCTTGTTTAGCCTAACCAAAAGAAGGCTGAGGGGAGATTGAGATTTATAGATTGCTCTCTATAAATACATCAGAGGGATAAATACCAGGGAGGGAGAGGAGTTCTTTAAGTTAAGTGCCAATGTGGACCCCAAGAAAAAATGGCTATAAACTGGCCATCAACAAGTTTAGGCTCGAAATTAGGTGACGGTTTCTAACCATCAGAGGAGTGAAGTTTTGGAACAGCCTTCCAAGGGGAGCAGCGGGGGCAAAAAACCTAACTGGCTTCAAGCCTGAGCTTGATCAGTTTATGGAGGGGATGGTGTGATGGGACTGCCTACAATGGTGTGTGGCCCATCGGCGACTGCCAGTAGCAAAAATCCCCACCAGCTAGAGACAGGACACTAGATGGGGACAGCTCTGAGTTACTATAGAGAAATCTTTCCCAGGTATCTGCCTGGTGGGTTTTGCCCACATGCTCAGGGTCTAACTGATCACCATATGTAGGGGCGGGAAGGAATTTTTCCTCAGGCCAGATTGGCCAAGACCCTGGGGTTTTTCCACCTTCCTTTGCAGCATGGGGCACAGGTCACTTGCAGGTTTAAACTAGGGTAAACGGTGAATTCTCTGTAACTTGAAGTCTTTAAACCATGGTGTGAGGGACTTCAGTGACTCAGCCAAAGGTTGTGGGTCTATTCCAGGAGTGGGCAGGTGAGGTTGTGGCCTGCAACGTGCAGAGCATCAGACTATCAGACTAGATGATCATGATGGTCCCTTCTGACCTTAAAGTCTCCGAGTCTTGACAGGGATGAATTTGGCTCAATATTTGCACAATGGGGAAAGTCTAACTGAAGTACCAGGCATTCGCACGAGTCCCAGTAGCAAACTGGAAAACTCTTCCCCGTGTTCCCGATAAAGTGGCATCATTTCTTGCAGCCAAAAGCCTATTAACAATAGAACAGAGCTGCCCAGCAAGCATGCGCCGATCTTGCAGTCCCTCTCTCTCTGATTACATGGCTCACAGGACTGACTGGGGATGCAGGGCCTTTTCCCTATAAGGTCACTGGCTCAGCTCTGGCCAGCTTGAGAGTGAGCAGAAGTTACCCCAGGAGCTCCCAGTGTGACGCTTTGGCCAAAAGTGCCCATGCGCTCCTGGGATGTATAACCAAGGAATCTCAAGTAGGAGTAGAGAGGCTATTGTACCACTGTGGTTGGCACTGGTGCGCCTGCTGCTGGAATCCTGTGTCCAGTTCTGGTGCACACATATCAAGAAAGATGCTGATAAATTGAAGAGGGACCAGAGGAGAACCACAAGACTGATTAAAGGGTTAGAAAACCTGCCTTATAGTGATAGACTCAGAGAGCTCAAATCTATTTAGTTTAACAAAATGAAGGTTAACGGGGGACTTGATTATAATCTATACGTACCTACATGGGGGACAAATATTTAATAATGGGCTCTTCAATCTTGCAGAGAAAGGTCTAACGTGATCCAGTGGCTGGAAGTTGAAGCGAGACAAATTCAGACTGGAAAGAAGGTGTAAATTTTTTACAGGGAGAGTAATTAACCATTGGAACAATTTACCATGGTGGATGCTGACAATTTTTAAATCACAACTGGGTGTTTTTCTATAGGATCTGCTCTAGGAATTATTTGGGGCAGTTCTCTGGCCTACGTTACACAGGGAGGTCAGACCAGATGATCACAATGGTCCCTTCTGGCCTTGGAATCTCTGAACCACGGTCCCATGGCTGTTCGGTGAAATAAAGGGGTGTCTCAAGTCAGTGCCTAGCAGATAGGCGTCCACAGTCACAATCTGCAGCCTCAGCAGAGAGGCAGGACTGACTGGCGCTGCCGCCCCCGAGGGCAATGTGGGGGAAGCTTGCGGCGCTTTTGCCCATACTGTGCCGGTTCCCTGGATAAATAGGATGTCAGACACCAGGGCTGTCAAGTCAGCATCTTTCCCCAGCCCTGCGTTGATGGATTGTTCTGTTTTTGACTCCGCTTTCCTCCCTCAGCCAGCCCACCCCGAATGGGAAGCGATATCTGCCGCTCCTTTCCATGGCTGGGATGTGGAACGATTCCATGGCAAACAGTGCAGCTTGGCAAAAATAACCCTTTTCCTAGGAACCTCACAGCAGCATTTCCAGCTCGCGGCAAGGAGCCCGTCCGGCTGGGGGACTCGAGAGAGCTGTCAGTGGGGGTAGGGTCCTTACCCCCCCGCCCCCAGACTAGTTAAATGGTGGAGCGTAATTCTTTGGACTTCGACACCGTTGCTATCAGCTCGGTGGTGGTGAGTTCACTGGACTTCAGCACTGCCCACCGCAGCTGGGAGCAGGGACGCAGGAACAGCTAGACATTCCCCAGCTCTGACATGGTGCAGACAGTCCAGATCTGCACCTGGCCAGCTCGCCGCCCACTCTGCCCAACTCCCTGCCTTGCGATCCTTGCCCAGGGAGGCACTGTGCTCTCTCATCACATGACATGATGCTGCCACGGGTTGGGTCTCTGCTGTGCTCATGTTGGCACGGCCCCCTCCCCCGGCTAGCAGCTCTCGGCATGCTCCTCAGCCCGAGAGTCTTCCTCTGCAAATGGCTTGTAGCCAAGATGCGCTGCACAGGGCAGAGCCTCGTGTAGCCTGGCGCAAGGATCCGCAGCACACCCCCTTCAACTCCTCATTGAGAACTCATCTGCTCTTGAGCAAGTCAGTTGTTCAGCCCCTGCAAGGAAGCAGCTTTACATGGAGCCAGTCAGCCTAAAGCAGCTTTATCCGGCCGGGGGTGATGATTGGTACCATCCAAAATTCAGGAAAGGCAGATGGGCCGGACCCAGTGGAATGCCAGCATCACACCCGTGGGCAGTGTAATCTCGCACACCTTGCTGCACTGCGCAGGAGAGCCCGGTTACAACAGGACAGTGCAGGGATTGGCTAACAGAGCTGGAGCCAGTTATTAAGGATCCAGCTGGCAGAACAGCAGATCGGGAGTCAGGAGCATCACATTCCCTTCCCACCTCTGTCATGAACTCCCCTCTGTGACCCTGGACAAGTCACTTTGCCTCTCAGTACCTCGGTTTTCCCATCTGGAGAATGGGGGATACAACAGCCACCCTTGTAAAGGGATCTGTGGACAAAAGAGTTGATTACATCAGAACAGCCAGTGCATTTGCATCCACAGCGGTAGGGGCTTCCCAAATCAGACAAGGCAGAGAAGCACCCGCTCGACCATGCCGGGAGAGTCTCATTGGAACCCGGTGGCTGGTCAGGTTTTAAGAGAGACGGTAAAAAAAAGAAAAGAAAAGAAAAGTTGTGGCAAAACTTTTTCCAGTCCAAAAAAAGCTGTTTTGTGAAAGCTGAAGTGTTCTGCAGAAACATCTTGGTTTTGACAAAAATGTTGTAGAGACGGGTGCACGTGTGTGTGCCTCTCTAACCCAATGGTCAGGGCACCAGCCCTAACCCAGGTGCAAGTCCCTGTTCTGAACCACAGAGAATAGGGATGCTGTGCAGTGATGTAGGAACAAGAAGAAAAACACTGGGTCTCCCATATCCCAGGCTGGTGCCCTCCCCAGCAGGCTACAGTCAGCGATTCTCTCTCTCATCTCACAAAAGCATCGGCAAGGTCTCATTTTCATTCCCACGTGGACCAAGAAAAATGTCCAAACCTCAACATTTTCACAAAACAAAATTGGGCTCTGGGCCTGCTCTGGTTTTAACCCATCTGGGACTGTGCAGGTGGAGGAGACACTAGGGGGCGCTGTGGTAAGGGAGGAAAATAATCCTGGCAGGCAGCCACTATAGCCTGGGGCTGAATTCAGAAACAGACCAGGGAATATCTAAGGCGCTTTAAGAACACACTGGAGCTCTAACATGACAATTTTTAGCAACATCCTGTGTTAAGAAAAAACCCGAAGGAACAAAGGTGTTTTGAGCACCTTTATCCTAGAGCGTATAGGGTCAAATTCACAGCGGGCCGACTTCATTGAAGGTTGTGACAACTTATGCCCGTCTGGCCTGTAAAATGTAACCTTGAAAGCTTTGATTGGGTCCCGGAAGTTCAGTCTTTTCAATGGGACATTAAGCCAAGGTCCTGAGCTATTTGGGGCCATGGAAGAGCTCAGGATGGTCTTCTCAAGAGAGAGTATAACTCCAGTGTCCGGGTTAAACACCCATACGGATAATTCCATCCCTCCTTTCCACGTTCCCAGGTCGCTTTCATCAGACACAGTGTTTTTTCTTCTTGTCCCTAAACCACTGTCTAGCCTTACTAGCATGTTTATAGTGGCTACCATGCTCTGCCCCAGAGACGGGTGCATTTTGACAGTGGGTGCTGAAATCCGTGTACTATTACTTAGCACTTATAAAGTGCTTTCCCCAAAGCACACTGTAAACATCAGCATTCCTGTGATTTATCCCCATTTTACACACAAAGAAATGGAGAATTTAAGTGATTTCCCTGATGTGAGGTTTGGCGGGGACTAGAACCTGGGTCTGAGGGATGCAGACAGCCCTGCTACTCGACAGCTGAGAGAGGATCATACGCATTTTCACACAGACCCTGAAGATAAACACCAGGAAGTACCATCTTGGAAGGCTGGACTGACAGCTTCCCTCATGGCCCCTGATTGGTCCAAGTGCCCTATTTAAGCCCAGGAGTTGTCTGTGTGACAAGATGCGATCTGCTTCTTGGCTTGCTCTCGGACTCCTGACACTGGCTCTGACCCTTAGCTCTGACTCTGACCTTCAGCGCTGTTCCTGGCCTCTGATCGCAACTGCTCTGACCACTAGGCTGAGCACCCAAGCCCCAGTCGTGACACCCAAGGCCACAGGAGAAACAGGTGTCAGCATGGGAATTTAGGACCCAGAAGCTCCTGGCTCCCAGCCCTGCCCTCAGATCAGGAAAGCACGCTGCCTCTAGTGTATTTTGTAAAGCACTTTGCGAAAGACTCTCTAACAATCAATACACTCTAATGATCATTTTTGCTTAGTGGCCCTGGGTTGCTGCATTTAAATGGCTGTTCTGCAGGAAACACACTCACCTTGTGAAGGTCCTCATGGCTCTGAGGTTTCAGAGCCTCCGAAGAGTTATTTCCGGAACCTTTACATGATCCCGCAGGAGCTGAAATGGAGAAGATGGTTAAAACCCAAAAGGAGCAGCGAAGAGCTGGATGGATGCTTGTGCAGCACTTCAGACGTGTAAATCGCTACTTTCCAGTGAATGCTGCTGCACCGCCTAATGTGTTCATTACAAATATTTTGCCGTTTCCACTGAGTCACCTTCTTTCAGATCTTCGGGGTCCTGAGACAGGAGTACGAGCACCCAGATACCACAGGGATGGGCTGCAAGGCAGATTAGGGAAGAATCTAATCAAGAGAGAAAATGATCCCCCATTTCTGGACTTGTCATAAAAAGCTTAAATGTTTCCTCACCACCACTCTAGTTTCCCCTAGCGCACAGTACCTTGTGGGAGGTTCTTTAACCACAGAGCATTCGATCTGCCTTTTTTTCTCTAGCTAGCTGTGCTCTCAGGGGCTTTGTGTCTGAGGGCATGATGTGCTTTGACTTTCTAGCTCCCCCCTTCCCCGTTGGGGGATGGCTGCCCCCCTCTTCCCGCTGGGGGATGGCTGCCTGGCATGCATGGCACAATGGTGAATTCTTTTATGTTTCACTGGTCATTCTTTTCTTCCTTTGGGTTCCCTTCTGCCCCTTTCCTTGCATGGGATTTGTGTTTCCTCTCCCAGGCGGTGTTATTAGGCCCTGCTAACACAGCCAGTGAGAGCACCCCGGATGTCCTTGCAGGGTCCGTATGTTTGTTCCATATATGGGTGACCGACCAGCAGTATTCAGACCAGAGGAGGGTGTGAGGATGTAGTCAGTAAAAATGCTTGAAGCATGGCAGTCCCTATATATACAGTGGAGTCCTAAACAAGCATGTAATGTTTTGTGACTGGAGCTCCAGGTAGCTGCTCTGTGTATGTCCAGCACTGAGACCTCCTGGAGAGAGGCTGTGAAAACAAGAGATGTGTGTTCTCGTAGAATGGGTCCCTCACCCGTTCTGAGAGAGGGATACACATTAATTGGTAGCAAGTGATAATGCAATCAGACATCCCTTTAGAGCACTGGTTCTCAAACTGGGGGGCGTGCCCCTTGGGGGGGGTGAAGAAATTCCAAGGGGGGGGGCGAGAGGCTGCCCGGCCCTGGAGCTCCTGGGGGGGGGGGGAGGGAGGAGGAGACTAGCCCCCGGGTCCTCCCCTCCTGTCCACCCTCCCCTGCAGTTATGCTGCTGCGCGGGCAGCACAGTTTGCGCCCACCCACCTCCCAGGCTTTCCAATAAGCCAGTCCTGCTGCTCTGAGCGGCCTGGTAAGGGGGCCGGGAGCGGGGGGGAGAGAGGGGTGGATAAGGGGCAGGAGGTCCCGGGGGGGCAGTCAGGGGACAGGGGGCAGTTGGATGGGGCGGAGGTTCTGGGGGTGGTGGTCAGTAGACAGGGAACGGGGGGGGGGGGTTGGATAGGAGTGGGAGTCCTGGGGGGCCTGGCAGGGTGCGGGGGTGTGGATAGGGGTCGAGGCAGTCAGGAGACAGGGAGCAGGGGGGTTGGAGTAAGGGGTGGGGTCCCCAGGGGGTGGAGAGTCCCAGGAGGGGGCAGTCAGAGGACAAGGAGCGGGGGGGGTTCTCGAAAATTAAACAGGGGGCGTGATGCCAAAAAGTTTGGGAACCACTGCTTTAGAAATTCTCCGAGAAGATATTGCTCATCCTCATGACCGTTCTGCTATTGTGGCAAATCTTGGTAATTTTCCGATTGGTTTGGTCCTTTGCAGGTAGAACGCCAGGGCTCATCTGACGGCCAAGGAATGAAGTCCTGTCTCGTCAGTGGAAGCATGGGGTTGCGGAAAGGGAACCAGTAAATGGATCGGTCGGTTGACGTGGAATTCAGAAATTTCTTAGGGAGGAATTTAGGATGAAGGCGAAGGGAGACCTTTTCCTCGTGAAAGACGACATATGGTGAGCTGGCCATGAATGCTCCCATCTTGCTCACCTTCTGGGCAAAGTAATAGCAACTAAAAATGCGACCTTCATGGAAAGGTGGGACATAGAGCAAGTGGCCAAAGGTTCAAATGGTGGCCTGGTGAGTAGAATAGTGGTTGGCATCATCAAAGTCAGGCGGTTCATGACCAAGGCATCAAAAATAGCTCTTAGCAGACGGGTAGCACTTGGTGGAGGTCGTGGCAACAGTGTGGGCTGAAAATTGAGGTCTTTGAAGTCTGTTGCTTGTTGCTGGGCACTGGTGGTAGAACGGTTATGAAGTGGGTGGTCTTGCTCTGTACACCTGCCCTGGTGTTTTCTCTTTGGGACCGGGGTGTAAATTCCCAGGGAGCGGAAGGTCGATCTTGAGTCTTTCAACAAGTGTAGGGACTCATCCCTTTTCTCACGGACCAAGTTTGACTGGTCAAATGGTAGATTCTCTGTGGTGTTCTGCACCTCCCGAGAGCAGAGCCAAGACTCACGTCTCCTAACTCTACTAGTGGCTAGCCCTCCAGATGCCATGTCCACTGCACCCCCAGTAGCTTGTAGAGACGTGTGTGTCACTAGTCTGCCTTCCTCAATCAAGGTTTGAAATTGGGCTCTGTCCTCTAGGGGAAGCATGTTCTTAAAGTCCGCCTGTCGGGAGTAGTTACTGAAGTCGTATTTCGCTAACAAAGCCTGATAATTAGCGATATGGCTGTAAGGACTTGTGAACTAGAACCTGGGTCTGCAGAACCTGGACCAGCTGATATTCCCATAGTGCCACGAGGAGGCCATGCAGAGCCACAGGAAGTACCGCCCAAGGGACCCAGAGTGACCCTGCGGCCTTCTGATTGGCCAAGTGCCCTATTTAACCCTGGAGGGTGCCCCAGGAAGCAGGGCCGGCTCTACCATTTTTGCCACCCCAAGCCAAAAAAAAAAAAGAAGCTGCTCGGACTGCCACCCGAACTGCCGAAGCAAAAAAAAAAACCGCCCATACTGTGCCGCTCCAAGAATGGACGGAATGCCACCCCTTAGCATGTGTCGCCCCAGGCACATGCTTCCTCTGCTGGTGCCTGGAGCCGGCCCTGCCAGGAAGTTATCTGAGCAACCACAGAGACTTCAGGCTTGCTGTGGCTCCAGACCTCACCTCGTCCCCTGGCTCCGACTCCGGCCTTACTCTGACCCTGTCTCTTGAGCCTGGCTCTAGCAAATCCTACCACCCCGTCGCTGATCTGAGAACCCCAGCAGTGCTGTGACCATTAGGCCAGACTGCCTGTGCCCAAGTTCCTTGCAATTTTCCCAGACCAACTTCTCACCCCCTCCACAGGAGCCCCTTAACAGGGATATGGAAGGGGCAAGTCTACCACCATCACGCACTGGACCCCAGGGGGTACGGGATCTGAAGGAGCGGGTCTCAACTCCAAACAGAACCATCTGTTGCAATCCCAAGTGACGCAGCTCCTAGCAGAAAATCAGACGCTCTGCAAGCAGCTAGCACGATCCCAGGGAGAGAATTCCATGCTCCAGGCTCGGGGTGGGCCACTGCCGTCCACACAGGGCCCTGCCGTACTGTTACCTTAGCATTTGGATGGGAACAGCCTGGAGTTCAGGGAGAACCTGAACCAACGCCGTCTCCTTTTCCTGCTCTGCCCTCAAGTGTCTCCCACCAACCAGGCCAGGGTGGGACTAGCCTTCAGTTTGCTAGCTGCAGAAGCTCTGGATTGGGCCTGTCCTCTGCTGGAGCAGGACAGCCCGGTGTTAGCAGACTGGAACATCTTCCTACGAGTGTTTTCCGCAATTTTTGATGACTCTCTTCGCGCTCACTCAGCAGAAGCCATGCTACCAGGGCTCCAGCAAGGGCAAGGCCCAGCTCCCTCATACGCAGCCCAGTTCCGGCGACTCACGGCTGACTTTGAGTGGAACGAGGCAGCCCAATTGCCTCATTTTCAGTGTGGACTTAGTGCGGAGGTAAAGGACAAGCTAGCCCGCGTTGAGACCCTGACCTGTGTGGGTACTTTCACTGACCTCTCTCTCCGCACTGACAGCCAGTGCCTGAGGGAAAGGAGAAGTGGGGCACACGCCTCACACTGAAACCCCCAGGGCCCAACCATCAACCGATGCAGGTTGATCGGGCCACCCGTGCTGGACCCTGGAAGAAAAGGAATGGCACAAATACCTATGTTTTTATTGTGGAATACCAGGACACGCCCTCACTTCTTACTCATCACAGACCTTGACCCGCATGGAATTGGGAAACGAGTGAGCCCAGGCCATATGGAGGGACAGGCTGGGCACTACCAGGGCACTATGCTCCAGATCTACCTCCCAGCCCTCTGGAGAAACCCGATCCAGGACACACGGGTCCTCCCCATGCTTCCAAGTACGAATAGAGTTACGTACCATGGATGGAGCCAAGCCGATTCCCCCTCAATGGGCCCTGATCAATTATGCTGATAAACCTCATAGCTAAAGCCACTTGAGCACTACAAATCCCCCTCTGTTTAAAACCTACATCAGTTCCCCTAGAAACAATAGGTGGCCTCTGTCACCTCAGGGCCAGTGACACAGGAAACAGTACCCCTAGAGGCCGTAATCCAGGGCCATTGGGAAGAGCTACAGTTCAACGGGATCCATTCTCCACACTTCACCCTAATTCTCTGCATCAGCTGGCTGGAGCAGCACGACCCTTGCGTCTCCTGGCGAGAAAAGAGGATCAGTTTCCCCTTTGAATACTGCCAAAGGGCCTGTCGGTATGCAACCGGCTCTAACCCTTCGGCCCCAGGCTCCTGCGGCCGATCGGAAGCGACAGCCCCTGTGGTGGAATTCCAGATGTGGCAGGTAGCCAGAAGGAATCACTCCCAAGTCCCTTCTCCTTGCAATGTATCAGGATTTGAAAAAAAAAAAAAAAAAAAAAAGAAACAGACACGCTGCCTCCGCAGTGAGACTACGACTGCACCGCAGACCTGCAGCCTGAGACGAAGGTCCCTTCTGGATGGATCTATGCCATGTCCAAGCCAGAACTGGCAGCCGTTTGGGAGTACATCCAGGAAAGCCTGGCCAATGCCGTCATCCGGCACGCCACCTCCCCAGCAGGGGCTCCAGTTCTTTTCATTAC